GGGGGGGGGGGGGGGGAGAACTGGTGTGGGCAGGGTGCCAAAAGAAGCTCGGCGTCGCTCCTACTGACCGTTTGTTGTGGTCCTCCAGCAAGTAACCACAAACGAAGGGGTGTGGATAATGTTCACTGGAAGCAATGTACCTTTCACAACAGAAGCGTTGCCAATGCTGTTGCGGCTCTCCATCAAACCAAACTGAGAATTCCTGACGTGCGTACCACGAAATCAACCTTACCTTTCACGGAAACAACAGGAAACGAACGTCGCCACACAAACAAACTACTCCTACTACGCAGAATCCCCACACCACGCACGCAGCAAGCCAAGGACCGCATAAAGCTACAATAGCTACCACTCGCTCGCTCACCCTGAGGACCGTCACCGCCGCGTCCACCGCCAAGCGCAGGGCCGACTCCTTCGTCGACATGAGGTCAACCACCCCTTCCCCGGACTTGTCCGCCACGGAGTCATCGTCCACGTCCACGCCCATCTTGGCCTCGCCGTTGGCGTGGGCCGTGCGAAGGGTTGCGAGAACCTTGCATTGCACACACGGTGTTTTTTTTCGTTTCTTTGAAGTCACGGGCATTTTTTCTTGTAACACTTGTTTCCGCAGCTGCAGCAGATAAGTTACGTAAGCATACGGTGAGGCTGGGGACTGCTGCTGTAGGTAAGGTGAGACGGACACACGCCGGCGATGCCCCCTCCCACGCCCCGTTCCTTCACAATGATTCCGATCAAGTCTCTCGAGGAATGAAAACTCTTCGGGAAGACAAGGGTTCTCGGAGATACCGTAGATTGCATGGCCACGTGGACTTCTGAGAGGCAACGGAAAACTCTTCCATTGCTGAGAGGTAGATGCAACGAACATGTGGACTTGGCTACATAGGTGAGGGAGCCATTGAGAAAAAAAAACGGAGGATCCCAAAGCAAACGACAAGACTGGAAGGTTCTCAATCCCACAGGTCGTGCACATGATTGAAAAAAAAAAAACGTACATCTAGACTAATCACAGAAAGACTACCGTTCGAGGCATAACCATAGAAGTCCAAGGGCATGTGTCGAACTTTTCTGAGTATGATGTTTTAAAACATGGTGCAACAACCGAAGAAAGAACACCGTTCGAGACATAATCACAGTCGAATGGGATAGGTCAAGATCTGTACAGTTCAAAAAAAAAAATCAGTTATGTCGGCACATTAAAAACAGTTTCTCTCTGTCCAGTACCTCCTTCTGTCCGTACGAACCCAACACTTCTTAATGTGAAAAAAAAAACGGCTGGAATGTTTTGTGCTTCATACCTTCTCTGCGTCCTGCCCGGACGTTTCTGAGAGAATGCGAGGCACCACCTCCAGGGCCTCGGCGAACTTCTTGATGGCGTACTGGTCCAGCCCCGTCTACACCGAAAACAAGAGCAAAACAAACACCCGGCAGCAGCAACGCACACACGGTACGCAAGGACGTGAGTGGGGTTCCCGTGAGGCGGGCTGACAGAGGCTTCTTTCAGTCACAGGGCACGGGGGCTTCACCACAAAAGACGTGCAACACCAGCAGATCTAAGCCTGTATACAGGGTGCATAAAACTCGTTCCTACTCATGGGTAGAAAGAAGAAAGATGTCATCGAGTTCTCGGCAAGCAATCAATGCAAACTGCGGCAAAAAAAAAAAAACGCTTGACAACCTTCAACAAGAAACCATCGGGCTATCACCATCTCGAAAAGGCAGTCATTCTTTGCTTGTACAAATGTCTATTGAAAAAACACGTGTAGGACTATAAATAATCTTTCTCTTGTCTCTGGCGCCTCGCCTGGGATTCCCCGTGCTTGAAGATCTGGTGCGCCAGCTCCATCTCGGTGGCGCCCCCGCCGGGCACAAACCGGGGGTCCCGGCAAAGCCCTCGTACACACGCGACGCTGTCGTCCACCGCGCGCTCAAGGTCGTTCAGCAGCGACTGGGTGCTGCGGGTGAGACGCGGGCGAGGGGGGGGTGTGTACTAATGTCAACGCATGCCGTAGTCTTCACAGACCATAGACCTCGCATCCCTATCGGGGTCGGAGCGATTTCCCAGGCTGTTACGTTTCCAGCAGCCATCTTGGGGTTTTTCACCTAAGTGAACATGTTGGATAAAGCGTGCAATCGGAGAAGTTGGGTTTATGGATATGGTCCACGTACCCCCTCTCCTTGTTCTGTATATTTCCTCACAAGCTTCTTTTCTCGCGAAGGCGGTCCTAGGTTTCACAAGTACCAACCAGACACTGGTCATCATCCTTGCGTTTCCTGTGCCAATCCAGATATGTCAAGGATTGATTGGGAGAGGGAGGGGGGGGGTGTACTCATAGTCGTGCATGCCGTAGTCGCTAGACGATTGACCTCGCATTCCTACAAAGCCGGGACGGAGCACGCCGGGTTCTCACCGGATCAGGCCCTGGGAGAGGGAAGCGCGAAGCGCCGTGAGATATTCGGCGAGTCGCATG